TCTTGATGATATCCATCGGTGAACCGCCGGTGATACCTTCACTCACGAAAGTTTATTCGATGATATATCATCGACAGTTTTCACCTTTATCGACCGATCACTAACGGTTTCGTATGTTGGTAAAACCTCTCATATTAGTAATATTAATGTATTCACATATGTGTAGAAGGGAGATCATTTACAAACCGTTCACATTAGTATAAACTTTGCAAACCATATATAACTCTCCATATTTTTTTAATTTTGGTGATATTTATTTAAGTAAAAGGGTAATATTGTCTTTGTTGATGAATGGATAAATTTAAATTAATTATGGAAGTTACTAGATGGAATCATTTACCTTTTTAATGAGATTTTTTATACACTACAAAAATGAGGAGTATCAGCGACAAAAAAATCCGTTGCTAAAGGCCTATTGGTCGTTGATAGCCCGTCGGTCAAAAAACTCATAGGTAATGCTAGCAGCGACGGATTAGCGAAGACTCTTAGCGACGGGTGTTTTTGCAACGAAGCAATGGAAAACTTTCAGCGACGGATTTGCGACGGAGAAATTTCAGCGACATATTAGGGACGTAATACTTTAGTGACTGATTAATGATAGAAATCTTTCAGCAACGGATTAGCAACGGATAACCGTCTTTATTATTGAAGAAATATATCTTCAATTTTTTTTATTCATCTCGTGAACTGCATTTTTGCTTTCTTTCATCAATTGAGCGTAGTGATGCATCACCTGTTTTTGGTTGGTTTTCAATCAATGAAACGCAATATTTCAACAATGAAACATAAAACCATTACTATTTCATTATATCAACCATGAAATATAACTTACAAAAAAAAACCTTGATTTCCACTATTTGAAATATGAAACATGAAACCGCCACATCATTGAACCCATTATTTCATCAATGAAGCATTAAACCACCACATTAGTGAAAACAATGGGATTCCCACAAAATAAAGAAATTACTTTATTTTGACAATCAGTTGATTTGACGTGTGCAGTATGAGACTTTTGCTTGAGGATTATGTTCATCCGATTCATCTATATTACGTTGACTAATATATCCTCGAGACCACTGTTTTTTTTATTAATCCATGTGTTTTAATGAAGTTTATTCCTATAAATATATTTAGATCAAAATATGAGATGAATGTGATTGGTTAAACCACCTCTATGTGTTTAATCACCTCCTACATTCAAAACTTCAAGCAACAATTGAATAATAAATAAATAATTAAACAAATTAATAATTCAAACCAAACAAATGCCACCAACTTACGATTAATCAAAACATGTGTAATATGTCATGCATACGCATACACAACCTAGAAGCAAGCGACCCGTTACCATTTTCATATTATACTAGTAATGATTTTTAAGAAATATATATAAAAAAAATCGAGATCACAGATCGATTAGAAAACTAACAGTTTTTATTATACAATGCGGTGTATGACGTTACAAAGTTCCCTGGATTTTGACAAGAATTACATGTAATGTTATCTTTATGGTGATTATTTTGTTTATTTATTCTGAAATAATATAATATAGATAATCAAAATAAAAACAAAAACAAAAACAAAAACAATCTTTTTCTATATATGTCTCAACCTCAAAACGAACACCATCACTGTCGTTAAACGGTATTTTAAAGCCAAACATAGATAAAATTGAACCCTGCCATCGATCTTTGTCTTCAAGTCACAAAAGCGATGAACAATAAATTCGTTTAACAAACATTAGAAAAACGAGGCTTGTTATCATACCCGCAATCGCCTTAAGTATATTTATAATTGAAAATAAACATACAAGTACATTTATGAATAAATGTTATAAATACATGTAGAATATTAGATATTGGTATAATTACAAATAAAGTTTTGAATTTTTTATTAATTATACACGTTCTTGGATGAAGTGAATATGAATATGAATATGAATATGAATATGAATATGAATGAAATGGAACAAGCGGAGGTGGCCAAATTCGTGGTTTTTGGTGGTTAAAAGTTTAAATATGGAGAGAGATGCTTTTAAAATAATAAATGATTAAGTTCAAAATAATTGGTTTTTAGGGATCAAAAGTAGGAGTCATGTGGAAATAATTTGCTTAGAGCTTAAGCAAAGAAAATGCTAACTTGCAAGGTGGGAAATCTTCATGTTATAAATAAGTTTGTAACTGGTTTTCAAGCTAATTTTAAACATATTATGTAATTGTATAACCAAAAATCATGTAAGATAAAAAGTATAAAAATGAATCTGTATTCTTGATCACTTTTAACCTCAAATTCACCCATAAACCACACTTATATTAAATGGTGAAGATTACTTTTTACGCTTCTCACTTTAACTCTCCACTCATCAGAATCCAACCCTGCATCATATAATCTCTCTCTCTCTCTCTCTCTCTCTATATATATATATATATATAGACTTGGGATCATGTGAGCAAGTGTTTTTTATGAGACCTGTAACACCAATTATCAACCATTGGATTAGATTTACAATCTGAAACATTTATAATCACAAAATTGCCACGAGACTTCTCAATAATCATAAAATTGTCACCGTGCAACTTTAAACCATTAGATCATTAGTTTATAAAGTTGATCAATGAACATAAATTGGTCTTACGGGTCTCACGAAAAACCATTGATCTCACGTGAAAATATATATATATATATATATATATATATACAAAAAATAATAATTTAAAACTCAATATATTAATCTATTTTCTACGAGTCATTTTGATTTTAATCAACGATCAAACATTTTTTTTATCAAAACATTACCAGTTAAACACACTGTTAAAAAGGAATTTTACTGATGGATATTTCGATAGAAGTCGATGACGGATTGTTAAAAATCAACTTTTTATTGACTTCCTTAAAATCCTCTACTGATTATTTTAATAAAAATAAAACACTAAATTACCCGATGGAAACTAGTGACTAATCGTCAAAAACTTTTCATTAACTTCCACTAATTATTCTAATAAAAATAAAAATTAAATTCAATTTATTTTCCCATGGATTTGTGAACTACTTAATTGTTTCTAATTTTTAAAAGTATCCACAACAAATTTATAGAATTAAAATAATAATAATTTAATTCATTAATTTCACTGACGGATTTGTAGCGGGTTTTAATTCATTAGTTAATGGAACCTGCTCTTTAGCATATGTTTATAACCAACCAGCCCTAGGAAATAAATTTTCAAACTGATGTAAATCACTCTAAATATGACGATAAATAATGTTAAAATTTGTTATAACGACAAAATTGATATTGATAGTTTTATAGACAATTTAGTGTTCTACAACCCTAGATTTTCTTATAATTTTTCTAAAGATGCAATTAGAAACGGAGAGAGTCCAAAATGACAATCATTGCCTCACAACCGATAATTTCATGCTATGGTTGGGCTCGACATATACTAACCAAAACTATGACGAACTTCAAAAGCACTCGGCCTCGATCATGTTGAAAAGACGGTCCTTGTAAGACACCCTCGGCGACATGTGTTTCGGTTTTGATCTTCGCACACCAAACCGCGATACTCGGGCAATCCTACGATTGCCGACAACCTAGAGACATCATCTACGGTAAATCGTAAAGATTAGGAGTGAGGAACCCAAAGACTTTGCCTTCTTAAGGATCTACATAAATTGACCGGTTTATTTAAATGTAGGAAAATATTACGTAAGTGGATGATGAATATGACTTTGAAGATATCGTCATGAAGATGTAATATTCTTGATAAATATCATACTATATATCATGATAAATAATATGTATATTAATGAATATAATACTGAATTTTTACAATTATCATACTGAAGATGTATATTTACTCGTTTTAAATACTAGAGTAAAAATGTATAGTATTGATGAATATCGTATGGATGTATGAACACTGGAAAATTGTTGTACACACATAAAAATACATCAATATTCATAATCGACATTACAAAGACGCACCAATTAAAAACAAAAAGAAATCGAAATAAATGTCAAATCAAATAGAATAAAATGCTCGTTTTTTTAATGCAATTTGATTGATTAAAATATTAATCATTTTAAAGATAACTTAGATTAAAGTTTTTGGGGTAAAATTTTTTAATTAAAAAAAGGAAAGTACGATTTTGGTCCTTGTAGTTTACACCCAACAACGGACAATGTCTTTAAAATTCAAAACAAAATACAAACCATGGTAACTACTAGTGTAGTTATTGAAGTTTAGGGATGATTTCTTTAGTTGAATGTAAACCATAGGGACCAAAGTTGTAATTTACTCTTAAAAAAGCAGAAAATTAAAACTCGAAAGAGCACGTGAATTTCAAGTATCAATTATATTTTCATTTCTTTAGTTGAATGTAAACCATAGGGACCAAACTAGAGAAGTTTCCAAACTCAAATTAGAAATGAGATCTGAAATCAGAAACAAAAGGGAAGACATATATGTTAGGTAAGTATGAATGCTATGATTTAAGGTTAACATCCTTTCTTTATAGCAAAGAAAAAATAAGTAGGTGCTACTACCAAAAGAAAAGTTGTCAATCTAAGATAAGAAATGGTTTTCATAATATCATCAATTTCCATTAATTAAATAAAAATGTACAAAGGGCGACAACATACAATTATCACATGTTCTCAACATTTGTAGTATTTCAAATCTGGACAATCCAATAAATCAAAGATTTCAAAATCTTTGAACACCTCTTAAATGTTTTAAAAATCTTATGTTTGTAGTATTTTAAATCCGGACAATCCAATAAACCAAAGATTTTAAATTCAAATCCCCAAGTCCAATTCCAATTCCAATTCCAACGAATCAAAGGAAAACCAAAGATACTTATGTTTCCATGTTTTTGTGATTGCGAAAAAATAATTAATAATAATAAAAGCAAAAGCAGAAGCAGAAGCAGGCCACTTGCTTCCTAATAAATACGTCCCTTTTAGTTCCCAGCAATTCCCATCGTCAACTGTTGCCATGTCCACCACTACTCTCCATGACATTCACCCACACATCATCCAGACCCACATCTTACCACGACTCGACGGCCCATCTCTCTCCACCGTCGCCGCCGCCTCATCCTTTCTGCAAGCTCTCTGTTCCGACGACCATCTCTGGGCCCACGTCTCCAACGCCACTTGGCCCTCGATAACCCATCCACGTGTCCAACGCCTCATCTCCACTTTCCCTGCCGGCTACCGTTCGTTCTTTGACGATTCCTTTCCGGTTCTAGTCACCCACCGTAACCGCCGACGCACCTGGTCTAAATCCAAACCAGATTGTTATCTTCACCTTTCATCTCGTCATCCATGCCCATCTGAACTCATCTCAGCCGTTGATATACGCTACAAGGACAATGTTATTTTCTCCCGAGTTGAATTCACCAACACCACAAATGATTTTCTATCGCCGGCGTTTCGGATCGAATTAAACAACAAACAAGAGAACTTCCAATCCATCAACTTGAAAGTGGATGAGCTGGCAGGAGCCGACCAAGAAACGTTGTCACACCTGAAAGAATCCGTAACATTAAACTGGATCCTAATCGACCCGACCCTGAAACGGGCAGGTAACCTATCCAGCATCAAAGCGGTGAGTGCACGGCAGGACTGGATGACCAACGAGACCCTCCTCAGATACGTCACCGTTTTACCAGGACGTGAGCCGAACGAAGTGGTACAATGTAGAATACAGGTGGTATTAGGAGCTGGTGAAGGAGGTGTGGGATTGCATGTGAAGGAGGTGACACTAAAATTACAGGATCTGGATTGTAGTTGCTTAAATGGGAGGGACTTTTTGGTAATTACACAAGGGGTACTTTTGGGTGAAGATGAAGTGAAGAGAAAGGTGGTGGGTGATGGGGAAGTAAGGAAGATGTACATGGAGTTCAAGCAAATGAAAAGGCAGAGAAGTGAGTGGATGAAAAAAGAAGAAGAAAAGATGGAGTTTGCCATTAAGCTCAATTATGTTCTTATGCTTGTGTCTTTTCTATTTTCTGTTTATTTTCTCAGCTTATTGGTAACATAGTTTTAAAAAATATATATATATATATATATATATTAATTATATCAAATCTTTACGTTCTTCATTTGAAATTTGTAATTGTGTGAGAATACATGGTCCTCTTATGCATTATATTAATAGAGACGAATTCGACTTACGAGAAATGTAAGAAGGATCAGATCACATATGATTCTAGAGTAACATCACATATATGATCCAAACAAGTCGCATTTACTAGTTATTTTGGCCAAGTCTCTTATGCGGCTCTTTTTAGATGTGTTGTTTGCATCTGAGTTTACTCTATAATTGAAGAATTCGGTAATCAGAGATATAAACTCTCTCTATTTTATTAAAATATTTCAATCGATCAAGGGGATATATACTTGCAGAAGGCAAGCTAAAATTAGGAAAGCTAAAAATTAGGAAAGCTAAAAAAACAAACCTAAAATAAAGGAAAAGATATGAATGAAAATAAAACTCTATCTTTGCTAAAAATACGATCGGTCAAATATCTCCAATATTCCCCCTCAAGTTGGAGCGTGTAAGTCTTGCATGCCCAACTTGACTAGCAGGCTTCGAAGGTGTTGAGCTCCCAGCGGCTTGGTGAGAAGATCAGCTATTTGATGCTTCGTATCAATATACGTTGGCTGAATTTCTTTTGATTCTACACGTTCACGGACAAAATAACAATCCATTTCCACATGCTTTGTTCTCTCATGAAAAACCGGATTGTTTGCGATATGTTTGGCAGCCTCATTGTCACAAAATAAGGTAGTACCTTCCATAGGGGTTTCATCGAGTTCTGTGAGTAATGAGCGAACCCACAACACTTCACTGACAGTAGTGGCCATAGCTCTATACTCCGCCTCAGCCGAGGAACGTGAAACAACCGACTGTTTCTTAGACTTCCACGAGATAGGTGCACCACCAAGAAGAAGTATATACCCCGTACGTGATCGCCTCGAGAAGGGGCACCCAAGCCAATCAGCATCACAATAAGAAACAAGACGCCGACCTCCTTCCCGTGGTAGTAAAATACCTTGGCCTGGCGTGGTCTTTAAGTACCTCAGAACCCGAATGGCAGCGTCCATATGGTTTTTTCGGGGATCAGAGACAAACTGGCTTAACACATTGACAGAATATGTAATATCTGGACGTGTGGCTTGTAAATAAAGTAATCTTCCAACCAACCGTCTATACTGGTTTGCGTCAACCTTCTCCTCTTCTTCACCATTGTTCAATTTGAGGCTTTGCTCCATGGGAAAATTACTTGGGCGACATCCTTGTAAACCACTATCTTCCAGAATATCGAGAGTATACTTTCGCTGACTAAGAACTAGACCCTCCTTAGTACGAGCCACCTCTATTCCCAAGAAATACTTTAAAGTGCCAAGATCCTTTATGCTAAACCTGTCATGTAGCTGAGATTTTGTGTACTSAATCATGCTCATGTCATTTCCAGCAATAATTACATCATCGACATAAATCAAAGCTGCCACGAAAATTTCCTTTTTCTTATACACAAACAGCGAGTAATCTGCCTTGGATTGGATAAACCCGAGGTCTAACAAGGCATTTGTAAACTTGTGGTACCAATTTCGCGAGGCTTGTTTGAGACCATATAAAGACTTTTTGAGCCGGCAAACACGTGTGTCACCATTTTTTGAAAACCCTTGCGGAAGCTTCATATAGACTTCTTCATCGAGATCGCCATGTAAGAATGCATTGTTAACGTCAAGTTGGTGTATGATCCAATCCTTCTTTACTGCCAAAGTAAGGAGAGTTCGCATGGTTACCAACTTAGCAACGGGTGCAAAAGTGTCGTGATAATCTACACCCTCTATTTGAGTAAAACCCTTTGCCACAAGCCTAGCCTTATAACGCTCGATTTCGCCATTGGGTTTATATTTAATTTTGTACACCCACTTGGAATCTATTGCCTTCTTGCCATCAGGCAGTTGTTCGAGAGACCACGTTTCGTTTTCTTCAAGAGCTTTGATCTCTCGTTTCATGGCGTCTCGCCACTTCTCATCTTGTGTTGCCTTAAGAAAAGTTTTAGGCTCATCATGTGACGTGATGGCCGTAAGAAAAGCTTTGTGTTTGTCAGAAAACTTGTCATAGGAAATGTAATGAGCTAGAGGGTGTACCGTAGAGGACGCTTGATTGGAGCTTGGGTGTGCATGATCGACAGAAGGGGGAACGTTGACTTCGTAATCCTTGAAACGGGCTGGTTGTGTCTTGGCTCGTTGAGACGTGCGGCCCAAAAGAGTTACGTTATTTGGCTGCTGCAAGTTGTCAACATTTGGCTCTTGATCATCGATGGGCTCATTGACTTGCGTCGGTTCACATAATGGACTACTAGGCCCATCGTTTTGTATTGGGGTGCCTACACCATCGATAGACTCTTGCTCAGAAGCAATAGTTTCCTTGTTTTGCACGTTACTTTCATCACAATCCCCATTGTTTTCATGTGACTCATATTCAAGGAGTTTTTGGTATTGAGTAATAATCTCATTATCTCCCAAGTCAGTACCTTCCTTATCACTTGAGAAAGGAAAATTGCTTTCTATGAATTTCACATCCCTGCTAACAATGATTTTTCGTTTTTCTAAATCATAGATTTTATAACCTTTTGTGCCAAAAGGGTATCCTAGAAATACCCCGGCCTTTCCTCTCGGAGCAAATTTATCCCCTTTTGTTTCACTGTTCCAGAAGTAAGCCAAACATCCCAGAACGCGCATGTGATCATAAGRAGGTTCCTTTCCAAATATSATCTCATAAGGTGTTTTATACTTGATCACCTTGGAAGGCAACCTGTTGATGATGTAGGCTGCGGTTAAAACACATTCCCCCCAAAACCTTATGGGCAATTTTCCTTCGAACCTTAAGGCACGAGCAACTTCTAAAAGATGTCTGTGTTTTCTTTCTACAACCCCATTTTGTTGCGGGGTGTGTGGACAGGTTGTTTCTAGTTCAATGCCATGATCGGCATAGAAGTTTCTCATGCAATTGGAAGTGAACTCTCCTCCGTTGTCACATCTAATCCGTTTAACATTCTTTTGAAATTGCGTTTGAACAAGATTACAAAAGGCAATCAAATAGTCACTAGCCTCGTGTTTATGTTTGATTATGTAAACCCAAACGGCCCGACTATAATCATCAACAATAGTGAGGAAGTAGCTACCATGCGTAAACGAAAAAGTTCTATAGCCACCCCAAATATCACAGTGAATCATATCAAAACAACCATTTGTCTTTATAGTGCTTGCTTGAAAGGGAAATCTAGTCAATTTTGCCTTTAAGCAAGAATCACAAAAAGCTTCTTCGGAATTAGCAGCCTTACAAAAGGAAATATGTGACAACTTATCGTTCGATGGATGGCCAAGTCTCTTATGCCATTGGTTTGAGGTGATAACTGCCATGGCCTTGCGATTTTCGTGCATGCCCCCCATTCTATAAAGTCCACCAATGCACTTACCCATTCCAATCAAGTCCCTCGTCCTCAAGCCCTGCATCACAAAAAAATCCGGAAAGAAGGTGATAGCACATTGTAAATCTTTTGTTAGTCGACTAACAGACAGAAGGTTACATTTAAAATTTGGTATGAAGAGAACCCCTTTGATTTTGATCCCCCCCTTAAAACCAAGTTCGCCGTTCCCTTTTACAGGGACAGTTTCACCATTTGGAATGATAACTGGCGTTTCTTTGCTGCCTGTGGTAAGGTTTTCAAGAGACTCCTGATCGTAGGTCATACATTCGGTAGCCCCTGAGTCAAGTATCCAGTCACATTCGTTGTTAAATTTACCTGCCATGTTTGCCCTTGGAATGTCGTTAGTCCTTTGATCGCCGGTTTTGCCAAACACTTTGAGAAACATCTCGTATTGTTCATCGCTTAGCCCTGGTATTTTGTTGGTGTTAGTTTCGGCCAAAGCTGCTTTCGGCCTGTTTGCTTCTTTCTTTCCCTTTCCCGGCCACCAATCCGGGTAACCAACGAGCTTGAAACACCCATCTCGAACATGCCCATCTCTACCACAAAAAATGCAGTGTCCCGTTTTATTGCTAGCGCCTACCTTGTCGGTCTTTTGCCAAGTCTTCTTATGGTTTTGATTTTCACGACCCATCTGCTGTGCTTGGAACGCTGCCGCATCAGAAGTAGGTGGCGCTTTCTTTCCAGTAGCAATATTTCGCTGCTGCTCATCCTCGGCTACCAGGTGATATGCCGTTCCAAGGCTAGGTGTTGGTTTCGTGGCAAGTATTTGGGTTCTCATGACAGAGAACTCGGTATCAAGTCCCATCAAAAACTCGTAGAGTCTTTCTTTTTCTTTGAGTTCCGTGATTCTTTTTCCGACATTACATTTACAGCCACCACATTCACACCGTGGCGTCGGTAGAACAGAATCAATTTCATCCCATATGCTTCTCAATCTGGTAAAGTATGCTGAAATAGACGTACCTTCTTGACGAGTCTGCGTGACTGATTGTTTTAGTTCGTATGCTCTTGGAGCACTTTCTTTTCCAAACCTCTCATGCAAATCATTCCAGATTTCAAGTGCTGTATGTGCGTATTTTACGCTGCTTCGTATCTCTTTCTCCATAGCAGTGGTTAGCCATCCCTTAATCATGGCGTCACACCGCATCCAGTACATGTATCTGTGATCGGTTTTGTCGGGTTTAATGAGGGACCCATCAACAAAACCAATCTTGTTCTTGGCGAATAGAAAATTGGTCATCTCTTGGCTCCAATCATTGAAGTTGTTATCGGTAAGATATTGGAGATATTTGTTTACCTGGAGTTGTTTTGGGTAGTCGGAAGGATGCAGATAGTATGGAGAATTGGTGTCGATGGACTCTCCATTGGTTTTGGAGCCTTCCGAATCGCCGCTGGCCATGAGAGTTTTGCTGTTAATGATCTTAATTGTGTCGAATCCGCTCTGATACCATGAAGAATTTGGTAATCAGAGAGATAAACTTTCTCTCTATTTTCTTATTCCAAAACATTCCAATCGATCAAGGGGATATATACT